TACTGAGAAAGTGTAAATTTTAAGATTATTTACATACAATCCAAATAACTTAAATATTTGACATGATTAGTGTCCGCGCATCCGCGCGGGTACTAATACTAGTTAGGGATAAAGTAGGAAGTTTAAAAGTTAAATTGTTTCTAAGTAAGGAAGTATGACATTTTTTTTTGGGAATATATTAGAAAGAAAAGTATGACACATAAATTGGGATAAATGAAGTACTAATATCGAAAAATGTCAATTTTTTTGGGCCCGACTAAAAAAAATATTACATAAATTGAGACAGAGAGTATTATTTTTCTAAATCTAAGTTTGATTTTCTTAATTAAAATATACGGCTCGTGTATGTTCGCATACGGCTCATTTGCTGTAACAGACGTGACTAAACGAATGGCATGGATGCATTAAATAAGTAGTGACAATACTTATTGTATTTGGTATTTATACTAAATCATATTAATTTATTCTAATTAATTAATTTAATAAAGTAAGAATGCAAAATAATTAAAATGTTTAAGGGTTAGAAGTCTTCATTTAAATACATGTCGTCCATCTATTGCTATGACGTAAATATTGAGTGCGGGTAAATTTTTAATGGGTGCACAAAATGTAGTGATCATTCTTAAACTTCTTACGATGATCATTGTTGTCAGTCCCTGTGATTTCGATTATAAATATTAAATGCTGGCAACAAATTTCAACATAATCCGTTATCGTCCAGCGGTTAGGATATCTGGCTTTCACCTAGGAGACCTGGGTTCGATTCTCGGTAACGGAAATTTTTATTTGGGTCCTCACTGTACAGCCCCTTAATATCGTAACGGAAATTTTTTATTTGAGTCCTTACTGTACAACCCCTTAATATCTGAAATCTATAAATGCACTTCAATTTAAAAAAAAAAAGGTATTGTCTTGCTAAAGTGCTAGTTCTAAGTTACTGTTCCGGTTATATGGGTTTTGAGGTGTTTTTTACTACTCAAAACCAACCAAATGAAAACAAATGGGGTGAAAGGCGGCTGCCATTTTTGTGTGTGTGAAAGAGAGAAGCAGAAAATTCCGTTACAGGGAATCGAACCCGGGTCTCCCAGTCACAGTTCCCAAAGTTTCCTCTCTCTCCTACTTTCTAGGTTAGGAGAGCTTCCCCCCGGCGTCTTTCATGGCCGGAATTCAACTAATTCTCCTCAGCGATCACCTTATGTATTTACTGATTACTGTTTTTAATCTCCTGTATTTACTGATTACTGTTTTTAATCTCCTGTATTTACTGATTGCTATTTTTAATCTCCTTGCGATTAAGTCGAGTATTTTGAGCAATGTCCAGCATGAAGGAGAACATTATCTACTTTGCAATGGGATTCAAATCTTATGAGATAGAAAGAAGGCCAACCATTGATGAAGACTGATTTGAGTGGACTGAAAGAGGCATAGACTTTATTAGAAGGATTACTTTCAACAAAAAGACAATGTTGTGGTTGTGTGGGTCCTCACTGTACAGCCCCTTAATATCTGAAATCTATAAATGCACTTCAATTTTAAAAAAAAAAAGTATTGTCTTGCTAAAGTGCTAGTTCTAAGTTTCTGTTCCGGTTATATGAGTTTTGAGGTGTTTTTTACTACTCAAAACCAACCAAATGAAAACAAATGGGGTGAAAGGCGGCTGCCATTTTTGTGTGTGTGAAAGAGAGAAGCAGAAAATTCCGTTACAGGGAATCGAACCCGGGTCTCCCAGGCATAGTTCCCAAAGTTTCCTCTCTCTCCTACTTTCTAGGTTAGCAGAGCTTCCCCCCTGCGTCTTTCATGGCCGGAATTCAACTAAATTCTCCTCAGCGATCACCTTATGTATTTACTGATTACTGTTTTTAATCTCCTGTATTTACTGATTACTGTTTTTAACCTCCTTGTGATTAAGTCGAGTATTTTGAGCAATGTCCAGCATGAAGGAGAACATTATCTACTTTGCAATGGGATTCAAATCTTATGAGATAGAAAGAAGGCCAACCATTAATGAAGACTGGATTGAGTGGACTGAAAGAGGCATAGACTTTATTAGAAGGACTACTTTCAACAAAAAGACAATGTTGTGGTTGTGTGGGAATCTGAAAGAAGCTTCAAAAGAGAGGCAAATTGTCAAAAGATGGAAAAGTAAAGACCAATACTCATAGACCTTTTGTGCAAGAAACTTCAACAAATATGGTCGCTACATTTCCATAATCAGGGTCCATAACAGGGGGAGATCAGTTATTATTGTACCAAAAGTGACTTTCAACTCAGGATGGTCAGAAATAGCGACAAAGATTGAGAGGTTCATTAATGGCGGGGAAAGAAGGAACGCATCAAATGCTCTTAGGGTGGCCGAAGAGGGTTTAATGTTCTCAAACACTGTCAGAAATCTAAGTGGGCCAACAGAGAGATGAATGAAGCAGAAACTCAACAAGATGGTGACATAATCCATATAAAAGGAGTCCAAAGCCACAATGAGGTTTGGGCAGATGTCTGGTGGGATTAATAGCAGATGGAGACTCAGAACTAGTAACCCTCTCGGAAGTTCGAAGATGGACACTAAAGCTCTGGGTACAAGCAAATGGGATTAACATATACGAAATGGACCAGAATAGATTTCTGTTTGAATTCTCGTAAAAAATGGCTACTGAATTTGTGATGAAGAATGACTAGTACTGGAAGAAAGAAAAAATGAAGCTTCAATGGTGGAATCCAATGGTGGGTACGATGCCGAAAAACAAAAGAATAGAACATACATGGATTAGGTTATTAGGGCTTCCTCTTCATCTACGGTCTCCTAAAGTTTTCAGAGAAGTGGGGGAGGTCTGTGGAGGATGGCTAGAGACGGAGGAAGAAATAGAGCTTAAAAACTATTTGAAATGGACTAGAATTAAAGTGAGAGGGGACGGGTCATCGACCCCCAAAACAGTGAAAATTGAAAGTGACGGCGACATCTTTGAGATTCAAATATGGTGTGAGACTCCGGTGAGATTTTCTGAGGGGGAGAAGGAAGAAGAAGAGGGCTATGTCCAGCAGGTAAAAGGGAGGGTTCCAAAACAAAGGGTAAAAGAACTTAACCTAAATAAAGGGGGTGGGGCTCGAAGAGTTAATCAACAAATAAAGCACGTGGGTAGTTCCAGTGAGTGGGATTTTAATAAGTCACGTGACCAGTCACGTGACGAACCTTTAGCAAATATTAAGACTGCTCTGAGAAGGAGCTTGGGCCCAGACTCATTGGCCCAAGTGATTTATGAGGAGAATTTTTTTTATAAGCCTATTTCTCATTATAGACCTGATCCAGTAAGTGAAGAAATAAATGCTCTTCAATTTAGCCTAGCGGTAAAGGAACAAAATAACGTGACAAAGGAACTGCCTCACAGAGGCGATATCATAAGCGAGGAAAAAAATGAAGAAGAAGAGAAATAGAAAATGGACGAAGACAGCAAATACGGAGAACTCCAAATTGCTCATTTAATTTTGCATGCAACAGATAATGACGGAACCATGGATTGGGCAATTAAAGATGTTGAACCACTTAATCAACAAATTCTAGAGGAAGAAAATGATCTGGACTTCGAGGTATCCATATGGGTTCACCAGAATATCATAAAATTGAGCAAGGAATTTGAGGTGGATTTCAGTGGGTGTGAGCGAGAAGCAATGGAGCTATTTATGAAAATAGATAGTAGGAGACAGTCCAGCAGAGGGAAAGCAATTACACAGTCCAGCCAGACACCAAAAAGGAAGGGAGTCAAGGAATTAAAGGCCTTAGAACTTAGGAGTAACTTCAAAAGCAATGGAATGAGAAGCAGGTGGGGTGGGGGGTGGGAGGGTCCATATTGATGTTTAATCAATGATTGTGAATATTTTGTCATGGAATGTGAGGGGGTTGAATAGAGTGAGGAAAAGGAGATTGATTAAAAGTTTGTTACTCAAATGGAAGGCAGGGATAGTGTGATTACAAGAATCAAAAGTAGAGGGGGATGTCAGGGATTTAATGAAGGAATTATGGGGCAATAGATGGGTTAGACATGTTCAACTTGAAGCTAGTGGGACAAGAGGGGGAATTATAGTTATGTGGGATGATATAGAGTGGGAGGGGGAGGTGGTTGGTATTGGAGCTCATACCATAACTTGTAAACTTTCAGGGAAACCTCAGGAGTATACTTTCTATATATCAGGAGTGTATGCCCCAAATGACAGGATAAAGAGGGAGGAAGTCTGGTGGGAATTGGCATGGGTTAGAGGTCTATTTGAGGGTCCTTGGGTGGTTTGTGGGATTTCAATATAGTGAGGTTCCCTTCAATGAAGAGTAATTGCTCCAGAATATCAAGAGCAATGATGGACTTCTCTAGCTTCATAGAAGACATGGAGCTTGTAGATATCCAACTAGCTGGTGGAGAGCACACACGGAGGAAGGGAGATAGACATTTATTAGCAACCAGACTGGACAGATTCCTATTCTCAGCTGGCTGGAATGAAAACTTCACCAACATAAAACAACAATTGGTGCAGAGAGTGTTTTCAGATCACTACCCTGTAATGCTTCAATCAGGCTCCTGGGAACCAGTCAAGTCATACTTCACGTTCAAGAATTGGTGGCTTCAGACTGATGGGTTCATGAGCAGAATTGAAGAGTGGTGGAAGTCCTTTACTTGCCGAGGAAGACCAAACTTTATTCTGGCTTTTAAACTCAAAGTCTTAAAAGTAAAATTAAAGGAGTGGAGCAAATCAGTTGAGGGTAACCTAGCCAGGTAGAAATCAAACATCCTCACTCAATTGGTAGATTTGGAAAAGGTACATGAACAAAGAGGTCTTTCTGATGTGAAAATCCTAACTAAAACATAACTGTCCACGGAACTTGAGGAGATTGCAAATCGAGAGGAAGTAGCTTGGAGCAGAGATCCAGGACATTGTGGTTGAAAGAGAGAGATAGAAACACAAAGTTTTTTCACAGAATAGCAAATGCCCACAGGAGATACAACCACATTGACTAGTTGATGGTGGAAGGGGAAACTCTTCAAAATCCAGAAGATATTGAGAGGGAGATCATCAGATTCTATAAGAATTTATACATTAGAGAAGAGGAATGGAGGCCATCAGTAACTAGTAGGAACCATCCAAGGATCTCATCAGAAGATAATTCAATGCTTCAAAGTCCATTTGAAGAACATAAAATATGGGACAGTGTGAGGGCATGTGCAGGAGACAAAGCACCTGGTCCTGATAGGTTCTCAATGGCTTTCTTCAACAAGTGTTGGGAGGTAGTCAAGGATGATGTGGTTCCAATTTTTGTGGCTCTAATTCCAAAAAAGGTGGGGGCCAAAGAATTAAGAGACTTCAAGCCTATCAGTTTGATAGGCAGTATATACAAGACAATTTTAAAGCTTCTAATTGAGAAACTCAAAAAGGTGATCAACAAACTGGTGGATTCACAACAAATGGCTTTCATCAGGGGCAGACAGATCATAGATGCAATCTTAATAGCTAATAAATGTATTGACACAAGGAAAACAACCAAAGAACCGGGGATGATGTGCAAGTTTGACATCGAGAAAGCATATGATCATTTGAATTGAGAGTATCTTCTTAATACTCTAAGAAGGATGAGCTTCAGAGAAAGGTGGATTGGTTGGATACGATCCTGTATTTCAACAGTAAGCTTCTCAATCCTGATCAATGGGGCCCAACTGGTTTTTTCCAATATCAGAGGGGGCTAAGACAAGGGGATCCTCTTTTCCCCTTTCTGTTCATTATTGCCATGGAAGGACTAAATGACCTGGTAAAGGTAGCACAAACAAATGAATGGATCAGAGGCTTCAAAGTGAGTAGTAGAGCTAATAGTAACATGAGGATATCACACTTGCAGTACGCTGATGATACCTTGGTGTTTTGCGAAGCTGAAAGTGAACATGTAAAGATTCTGAGGGTGATCTTCATTCTATTTGAAGCTTTTTCCGGGCTCCACATTAACTGGCAGAAAAGTTTCATCTGCCCAATTAATGAGGTGCCAGGTATCCAAAACTTGGCCAACATTCTGGGGGGGACAGTAGGGGAGCTTCCAACTGTTCATTTGGGGATGCCTTTGGGTGCAAAAAGTAAGGCAAAAGGCATATGGAACAATGTATTAGAGAAATGTGAGAGGAAATTAGCAAATTGGAAGAATCAATATCTATCCATGGGGAAAACTTACTCTGATCAACTCTGTGCTTGATGCCATGCCTACATTCATGATGTCCTTATTTCCAGCTCCAATCTATGTGATTAAGAGAATTGATGCTATGAGAAGAAACTTCCTCTGGGAAGGCAACAGTGAAAAAAAAGAAATTTCACCTGGTGAAGTGGGATGTCCTGANAAAAAGTAAGGCAAAAGGAATATGGAACAATGTATTAGCGAAATGTGAGAAGAAATTAGCAAACTGGAAAATCAATACCTATCCATGGGAGGAAGACTAACTCTGATCAACTCTGTGCTTGATGCCATGCCTACATACATGATGTCCTTATTTCCAGCTCCAATCTATGTGATAAAGAGAATTGATGCTATGAGAAGAAACTTTCAGTGGGAAGGCAACACTGGAAAAAAGAAATTTCACCTGGTGAAGTGGGATGTCCTGACTTCCAGCAAAAGGGCAGAGGGTCTAAGAATAAAGAATTTAAAAGTGCAAAACCAATGCCTAATGATGAAGTGGCTACGGAAACTGGCGGTAGAAGATCAAACCTTGTGGATAGAGGTCATTAGGGATAAATATGAAATAAAGGAAACTGGACAACCAAGTCAATGAGAAGTCCATATGGTGTCAGCTTGTGGAGATCAATTAGAAATCTTTGGTGAAAAGTGATCAACAAATCAAAGTTCAAAGTAGAAAGTGGAAGTAACGTTTCTCTGTGGAATGACAATTGGTTAGGACAAGGATCCTTGAAGGATCTATTCCCTGACATTCATGAACTGAATCAGCAACAACAAGCAGTTTTAGCAGAGGTTTGGACAGCCCAAGGATGGAGCCTCACTTTCAGGAGAAGTTTAAACATTTGGGAGATCGACAAGCTGACTGAGTTTTATAGGGTCTTGGAACAATTCACTGGAATCAACTCAAGCCAAAACATCATCATGTGGCAAGGGAATGGGCAAGGAAAGTTCTCAGTAAGGAGTGCGTACAAAGAATACAACCTTGCAAACAATCAAATTGGATATTGGCCATGGAAGATGATATGGAAAGTCAAAATTCCATATAAGGTCACATGCTTCACCTGGTTATTAGTAAAAGATGCTCTCCTAACACAAGATAACTTGACAAAAAGGAGATTCCAACTGTGTTCTAGGTGTTACTTATGTGGGGAGCAGGCAGAGACAATCAACCATTTTTTTTTTCATTGCAAATACACTATCCATATATGGAGGATCTTTATTAGTCTAAGGGGAGTTCCATGGGCAATGCCAGAAAGAGTCCTTGATATTCTAGCTAGCTGGAATAAAGAGGGAACACTCTCGAGAGACAAATAAAGATGGAGAATTGTCCCAGCTTGTATATGGTGGTCAGTATAGGAAGAGAGAAATCAAAGATGTTTTGAAGGAAACCTCAACAACATCTAGAAGATAAAGATGAAATGTGTAGCTCTTTTTTATTTTTGGTGTAAAGGAAAGCTTTTGGAGGATCATGAATCCATCTTAGATGCCTTAGATTTAGTTTAAGAAGATCTTGGGTGAACAATGACCTTTTTTTGTTTATTTTGTATGGACACTCACAGTGTAACTATGGGTGACTTCACAATTTCAGTGAAGTCTTCATATTAATATACAAATTGTTACCTTCTCAAAAAAAGGAAGAGAGAGAACAATAGTCATGGAGAAGCGATAACTATTATTTCTTAGTTCGTTTTTTATGGGCCCACAAAATTTTAGGCGACTCAAAGTCGATCGCCCAATTTCATGCAGATGACGTGGACTATAACACACGAAAATTTGAAAATCATGCTGAATTTCTGTTTTATGGCCGTAAAACGCCAAAACAAAATGATGATAACTATTGTTCTGTAGGTCGTCTTTATGGTCCGGAATTTTTTTAGGAGATTCGGAGCCGACCGCCTGAATTCATGCAGATGGCATGGACTATAGCACACGAAATTCTGGAAATCGTGTTGAATTCCTATTTTAGAGCCCTAAAATGCCAAAACATGAGGAACGGTCATCACAAAGCGATTATTCTTTAGGCCGTTTTTTGTAGTCCGGCAAAATTTTAGGAGATTCAGAGCCGGTTTCCCGAATTCATGCAGATGGAATGGGCTATAGCAAACGAAAATTTGAAAACCATGTTGAATTCCTATTTTAGGTCCCTAAAACGCCAAAAACAAAGAACACTCATGGCGAAGCGATGACTATTGTTCCTTAGATTATTTTTGGTGGGCCAGCAAAATTTTAGGAGATTCGGAGCCGGTCGCCCGAATTCATGTTGATGGCGTAGACTATGCACATGAAAATCTGGCAATCATGTTGAATTCCTATTTTTTGGCCCTAAAACGCTAAAAAAACAAAGAATGGTCATGGCGAAGCGATGATATTGTTCCTTAGGTCGCGTTTGATGGACCAAAAAAATTTTATGCGGTTCGGGTCCGGTCGCCCAGATGCATGTAGATGGCTTGGGCTTATAACACAAGAAAATCTGGAAATCGGGCAAAATTTTAATTTTTTGGCCCTAAAATGCCAAAAAAATAAGGAATTATCATGGCAAAGCGATGACTATTCTTTCTCAGGTCGTTTTTGATGGGCCGACAAAATTTTAGACGGTTCAACTTTGTTCGGCCCGATGCATGCAGATGGCGTGAGCGATGACTAATATTCCTTAGGTCGTTTTTGATGAGCCGATAAAATTTTAGGCGGTTTGGGTCCGATTGTCCGGATGCATGAAGTTGACTTGGGTTATAGCATACAAAAATCTGAGAATCAGACGGAATTCCATTTTTTAAGCCCTAAAATGCCAGAAAACGTGGAATGATTATGGCAAAGCGATGACTACTGTTCCTTCGGTCATTTTTTTATGGGCCGGCAAAATTTTAGGCGGTTCGGGTCTGATCGTCCGGATGCATGCAGATGGCATGGGCTATAGCACACGAAAATCTAGGAATATGGCGGAATTCTAGTTTTTTGGCCCTAAAACGCCAAAAAACTAAGAACGATCATAGCGAAACAATAGTAATTGCTTCGCATTGATCGTCCTTATTTTTTGATATTTTAGGGTCATAAAATAAGAATTCATGACGATTTCTAATTTTTTGTGTAATGTCCACGCTATCTTCATGAATTCGAGTGATGGGTTCGTTAATTTTGTGGGCCCATCAGAAACGATCTAGTGAACAATAGTAATTGCTTCGCTATGACTATTCCTTATTTTTGCCATTTTAGGACAATAAACAGGAATCCAGGACGATTTCTAATTTTTCGTGTGATAATGTCCATGTCATCTTCATGGATTCGGACGATGGGCTCTGCAACACCTAAAAGTTTGTGGGCCAATCAGAAACGGCCTAATGAACAATAGTCATTGTTTCGCCATGTTTGTTGCTCTTTTTTAGCGTTTAGGCCCATAAAACAAGAATTCAGGATGATTTTTAGTTTTTCTTGTGCTATGTTCACATCATCTTCATGAATTCGGGCGACGGTCTCTAAATCGCCTAAAATTTTGTGGGTCATTAGAAACGACCTAATGAACAATAGTCATCGCTCTGCCATGATCATTCCTCGTCTTTTGGTATTTTAGGGCCATAAAAGAGGAATTCAGAATGATTTCTAATTTTTCGTGTGCTAATGTCCACGCCATCGAGCGACGAGCTCTGAATCGCCTAAAATTTTGCGGGCCCATCAGAACAACCTAGAATAATAATCATTGTTTTGCCATGTTTGTTCCTCATTTTTAGCGTTTTAGGGCCATAAAACAGAAATTTGGAACAATTTCTAATTTTTCGCGTGCTAAAATCCCCGACATCTTCATGAATCGGGCGACAGGCTGCGAATCGCCTAAAATTTTATGGGAACCAAGAATAAAATTTAGCTGTATTAATCAATTCTTTTAGTAATAAATTGACTTAATCTGATGATTTAATCAACATTAGCAAAGGAATTTCTCCAACAAGAATACTGAAAAAACAATTGGCTAAAGAATGAAGCTGAACAGATTTCATTTGCTAAAGAATATGATGTTTGTCTCTTGTCAAAATTACATTCAATTGGGATCTATTGTTGCAACTAACCGTAGCCTCATCTATCTAATTTTCAGTGATACGGTATGAATGACGTGTCTTTCCTAACTCTTCTAGTGTACAAACTGCAAAATTCAGGTAAGTTCTTCACAAAACTGTGAAAGAAAAAGCCTCAGATCCTACTCAAACGAGAAGTAAGATCAACAAACACATCCTCCCTGCAGGGAATTGTGTCACCACCCACCAGATGATCAAAGCCAAATTCTTCCTCAACTTGACTAAGCAAATCTTGAAATAAAGATTGGCTCAAGAACGATATGGAGATTACAAATCTCTTCTTCTACTTCTCCCCAACATAAACAGCAAAATGGCCCTTTGGAATATCTCCAGTTGTAGAAGACTTCTTGATTATACGAGGCATACTGAGAGCCATGACCATTTAGTTCAATACAGATGAGCAAATAAGGATGGGAATAATTAATAAGGACCTTGAGATCAAAGAAAAGTTTTATATGGTTTCAGGTTTTGCTGAGTGTTGTTATAGTAAACCCCTCTTGGTATGTGTTTATATAGGCCAATGACAAGTTGTACAATCCTACTAATGTGCATTGAAAAGGCTTTGTGTAGGCACCAGCTAAAGACAATAGAACCTGAAGTATCACATGGTTTTGCCTTCCAACTAATTGTCATACTAATTAGACTTTGAAAGCAGAAGGTCCCACTGATGTTCACAACAAAGAACAGATTGATAAAACCTCATCTATCTCGAAAATGGTTTATGGACCACCTCTATCTATTTCTTGATGTTATATCTATGAGGGCATATCCTGAGAATTTTAGACAAAAATCAGATAATGCATAGTGCTAAAGCGATGGCTCAGGATACAAGTTGGTTTCGACCAAAAAAAAAACTAGTCTTATGTTTCCAGCTGCAGTTGAGTACTTATAAAATGGTCAAATTATGACGATTAATTATTGGAAATAATAGAGAATTGGAGTAATCTAAGACCAACTATGTGCATTCCTTCCAGTTTTGGAATGCTTGCTGCTGGAGCAAGCAACACACCATATCCACTGATTCCTAAGTTAATATAGCCTTACATGGAAATGCAGAAGCTCAATTTGAAGTTAGAAAGAGAAAGTGTCTTTGTTAAGATGTATAATCATAAATTCAGTTTCGCGTAAATTACTAACTACGAATTTCCTACAAGGAGTACAACTTTGAGAATGGCTTAAAAACATTCTCTCCCCTTCTCGACTTATTGTCTTGGGAGTACATAATGAATTTTTGCAGTTGGTAGTAGTGATTATATCAATTTCAAGCAATTGCTTCTAGCGTGATAGATATTTAGGGTGGTGCAAGCTCTCTAAGGTAATATGACCAACTGCGGGAGTAGTCACAACTACCTCCAATCAAATGCTTCCTTACAGTTAATTTGAGTAGATCCTAGTATGAAGAAGCATATAAGGACAGAACTACTCACTTAAAATCACAGCTTGAAGTACTTGTCCGCATAATGGCAGAAATCCAGCATTTGCCCACGATTTACCTGGATGGATTGTTCATGGAGTCAAAACCTTTAACCACTGATGCATGTGCTAACCATGGTGTAGGTTCTATGAAGCTCCAATATGTTACTGATTGACAGTAAATATCAGATTTCCAAGTATTCCAACATTAAGATAAAACTTAACGTACTTGAATTAGTGGACCAGAGTGCACAAAATGAAGAACTACTCCAATCTGGTATATGATCAGCGTGGGATGCAGCACCAAGTTGATCTTCCAGTCAAAATACAGAATTTATACCCCTGATTACACTTATCTGGATCGATGAGACCCTTTACAAGCAACTGAGCAATGTTGTATTCTCAGCACATAGCAGGCACACGCTGCATCCCTCGAATCTTCATCACTCATCATCTTAATGCAATGCAAAATTTTATCTGCACCCTTCATCTAAGAAATGGTTTACTGTCAAATCTACCAAGTAATGTACTCAGGAATTGGTCTAACAGAACAACAGCCAAGATATCAACTGTGAATACCCTGCACCAATCTAGTTTAGTTAGCCAATGTTGCATTAGTAGGTGTAGAAGAAAACTGAATCATTTCTAAATCAAGCAACAAAAATAGTCTCAATCATTCTTCACCAGAAATCCCCGCAGCTGCATATTCCATCTCTGAAATGATGAAATCGACTTGCATCCCTCACTGTAATCTCCCTTTTCGTAATTAAAGTTATGTATTTCAGCGTACTATGGCAGTCAACACAAACTCGCAAATTCTTTGTAACGAGTATGGACTTGCTAGGATCCAGATTTAGCAATGCAAATGCAACTGCAAGCTTCTCGCTGTGATAAAGCAGAATCTGTTCCTTCTCTTCTTCCTCAACATCTTGGTAGACAAAACTGGATTCTGCACTGTACCCCATTTTTTTCATCTCCGTTGAAATCTCCTTCAATTTCTCATTTATTTTAGTGGACTGAGGGTGGGATTGATCCCCACCAGCAAATGCATGGACAACCCCATTTATTTCAATCCAACTACATCCTGGGCTCTTCTTAAAGCCAGAATCCTTCTGCTTAATTCTAATATGAGCAGCGTCATCCCATCTCCCAGCAGTAGTATACAAGTTGGATAAAAGAACAAAATTACCTGGACTTTCAGGTCCTAGATATTGGATCTTGTTAGATACTTCTTCTGCTAGTACAATATGTTTATGGATTCTACAAGCAGCAAGCAAAGCACTCCAAATACGCACATCAGGTTTAAAAGGCATATTCTGGATAAAACCATAGGCCTCATCTAGGAGACCAGCACGGCCCAAAAGATCCACCATGCACAAGTAATGATCCATCCTAGGGCTAATTTTGAATTCTTGACACATGCTGAAGAACCAATATTTCCCTTCAGCAACAAGACCAGAATGGCTGCAAGCAGATAAGAGACCAATGAAAGTTATCTCATCTGGCATTTGAGCTACAGTCTGCATGTCATAGAACAATGAAATTGCTTCCTTTCCATGACCGTGAACTCCATATCCAGCAATCATTGCATTCCATGAGACAACATCCCTTTTATTCATCTTATCAAAGATAATCCTAGCAATGTTGACTTTACCACATTTGGAGTACATGTCAATTAGGGCATTACAAATAGAAACATCCTCTGTAAATCCACGTACTATCGAGTAACCATGGGTGCAAACTCCAAGTTGTAGAGCAGCCAAATGTGAACAGGCTGGTAAAATTCCCATCACTGTTGCAGATTCTGGCTGGACCCCAGACGATTGCATCATTTGGAAAATCTGCAAAGCTTCTTCTGCATGGCCATTCTGAACACACCCTGCAATTATAGCACTGAAAGAAACAGAATCTTTTAAACCCATCTCCTCAAAGAAGTTAAGCGCATCATCTATTCTCCCGCACTTTGCATACATAGAAAGAAGAGTATTACACACCATCAAATCCAAATTGGACCCCGACTTAACAGTATAACCATGCATCTTTCTTCCTCTTCTCAGATCATTCAGCTTAGCACAAGCTCGAATGACAGTGGCAAGCATGACAGGAGAAGAAGACCCAGTATCTTCCACCCTCATGTGGTCAAACAGTTCCAATCCTTCTTGCGTAGAATCACATGTTATATATGCTCCTATCATTGCACTCCACGTGATCTCATTCTTAAAAGTCATGACTCTAAAAATCCTCTTCGCATAGTTCAACAAACCGCATTTTGCATACACATCCAAAATGCCAGTGTCAACAACTACATCATTGACAAAGCCCCTTCTCGTAGAATACCCATGAACCGCCTTCCCTTCACGCAACTTATTAGCTTCCGCAATAGCAGGAAGAATAGCCACAATTGAAGATGAATTTGGTGTTAACCCATTCTCTTGCATTTCGAAAACCAAACCCATCATCTCCAAATACAAACGATTCACCGAGCACCCTGAGATCATCGCATTCCATGCCACAATATCTCTTTTCCACATTCCATCGAACACTTGTCGTGCCTCAACCAATAACCCACACTTGGCATAAAAATCAACCAAAGCTGTACAAATATAAACATCACCATCAAGCCCGTGCCTTTTTACATGTTCATGAATCTTTACACCATTTTCTACATCTTGCATAGCAGAACAAGCCTTGATCACAAAAGGGTATGTATAATTTGTGGGTCTAACACCAGACTCCACCATTTCATAGTACAAGTCAATAGCTTTCTCAAAGGGTCCATTCCAAGCATAGGCTCTAATCATTTGGTTCCATAATATGGTTTTATTATTTCTATCCTGATGAGGAATTTCGTCGAACATATGGCGTGCAAGATCGATTCTACTGCAGGAGATATAAAAACGAGTTAACTTGTCTAGTAGATTTGAATTGTAGTCATTACAGTGATTGTGTTTTAGGACGTGTTGATGGATTGATTTGCCTATTGATAATGACTTGGATTCTGTGCAGGCGTCAAGAAGCGCAAGGTAATTGTAGTAAGGTTCTTGTCTGAAATTCCAACTGATGTTTACTATTCGCCGCGCATTTGCGCATGTCATCTCCCGCTTGGCTTAAGGCTTTTGGTCTCTGTAGGAGAAATGAAATTGCTCTTCTCAAGCTTGAATTTCCTGTGGATTAGAACATGACATGTTCTGGGCCGGGCCCGGGCCTTCGTGGCCAAACGGGCCGGGCTTTGTGGGCCTGGGCTCTGGCGGTCCCGGGCTTCGTGGGCTCAACGGGTGGAACCGGCCCGTGACGGGCCTAAGCCCATATGGTCCTG